ACTGTGCATTCTGCTCATAATTCAGTAATACAATCATAGTGAGCTGAACTGAGGAGCGTCTCTCCTGCGTGGCTGCTGACAGCACTGTCCGCTGATGTGTTGATCACACTGGACAGGGGTGGAAAAAAGTAGCTAAGCCGACTTCCCTGGTGTTCAGCACCGGAGCGGAGGACATTGGAGCAGCGACCACAAACAAGTCTGTGCTCTGTTTTCATCACAGTTAGTTTTGTAGTTACGCAGTGCATGACTCAGTTTAAAAAGTTGTAGAAGTGTACGTGCTGCCATGCTGTTATCCTGCTTTGCTCCGTGTACAAAGACACAGCTTCAAAAAAAGTGCAGTGACTCAACTGACATGTGGTTAGGCTCAGGGGTTTCTCGACTGATGATTCAAGTTATCAGCATTTACGGGGTAGGCCTACTGTGCAAAACACCCACCTTCACCACTGAGTGACAATTAATAGTTCTCTGTTCTTGTTGATCCATAAAACTGTATTTACATGTGAAAACATCTGTTGTTGCTGCTGTCAGGTGGAAGCTATGATGGCTCAAAGTCTGATGTCTAGTCTGCCGGCCAAGTCGCAGCAACTATGACTCTAAAATTGCCTTATCCGACACAGTGATCACCAAAAAGGCAAATATAGTGTCGTGAGTGATCTCAGCGAAAAGACACGGAACTCAAGTGGAAAATGATTCATTTCAAATAAGATGAATGCAGGTTGCATCCTTTGATTTCACTCTATTTCTGTGTTGATAATTTATGCAACAATTCAAAGGAGTGTTGTCCTGACTGCTGTTTGGTGAAATAAACATTTGATGACTAAAAGTTTCTAAAGAAATTGTAACACTTTAATGCAATAAACTTCACATTCCCATGGGATTCTTCGGCAAAACTCCTCACATGGCTTACAGTCTCTGAAACACACATTAGATTAAGTGTGATCAAAGTGCAAAACAAGCAACACAGAGGGCTCACCTGTCAAATGAAATGTAAGTGTGATATTTTATATTTTGCTGTTTATAAGGGCCAGTAAACATTAATCAAATCTGACATTTTGAAAAACAAAGTAAATGTACCAGGGTTAGCTTAACAACTTAACTGTAGCTAATGCAACAACAAGCCACAGCTTTTCTAAACAAATAAATGATTTATGAGTGTAATCAAACTGAAGGAATGCAGCTAAAACTAATCAAAAGAGTAAAGGGATATTTTAAGATTAGTAGAACACAAGAGTTGCCCCTTTTATTATTAGCTTGTTTGCGCCAAAAAGGTGCCAAATTTCCTCTGTGGGGGGATTGCTAGAAACATATCAGTATACATTAGAGGTGTTGAAATTAATCAAATAATCGATGCATCACGATGCAGACATGGACGATGCTGCATCAATGCAGTGGCCGGCCATAATCGATTATAACGCAATGATGTCGCTCGTTAATTTTCCGGCCGCGGCATAAACATTCAAATGAAAAATAACATTCTCAGTAGCCTAACCCGTTTGGCCGTTTCATCTAGACCAGTACTTCTCAAATAGTGGGGCACGACAGGCAGGGGGGACTGACGGGGGAGGAGAGATGGAGAAGTTTCTGACAGGAGTAAAAAGAAAAACGGAGGAGGCGTCAGAGGCAAGAACAGCCAGTGACGGTAACCGGCATAAACTTAATAAGAGCAGGAAATACGACAAAGCCTACACAGCCTTTAGGTTTACTGTGAATACGGTCGGAAATGAGGAAAGACCTGTGTGTGTTTTATGTTTAAAAACTCTGGCAGCGGACAGCATGAAACCAAACAAATTAAGATGGCACCTGGAGACCTTACACCCCAGTTATGTCAATAAGCCACTGGACTTTTTTCACCGGATACTCGATGAGTATCGCCAACAGGGCGGTCATTTAGTGAGCGCGACATCAGTAAATAAAAACGCACCGTTAGCCTCGTACAAACACCGCCACATCGCAAGGTGCAAAAAAACCATCACACAATAGCAGAGGAGCTAATACTCCGGCAGCATTGGACATGGTCACAATTATAGGTGAGAAAAGTGCTGAGACACTGAATACTGTCCCTCTTTCCAATGACACGATCGGGAGACGTGTGTGTGTGTGTGTGTGTGTGTGTGTGTGTGTGTGTGTGTGTGTGTGTGCTGTCTGCTGTGTTCAGACTGTTAAATAAAAAAGATTGTTTTTATCTTACTACTTGTATTTTTGCATGAAAACAACCATATGAAGTAATATAGAAAACTGTATTATATTGAACTATACAGTATCTTAATGCATTCCGTCAAGTCAAATATCCTATATGGCTTTTATAGAAAAATTTATTTGATGCATCGTGATGCATCTAAGAATCGAATCAAATCGTTGACATGATAATCGTAATCGAAAGATCAGTGACAATTCACACCTCTAGTATACATACACTGTAAATACAGTATAAAGCTTATATAAAGCTTATAAACTGCACAAAGGCTGTCGCATCACAATACAATATTTAGGTCAGGCAGTTACAAGTGAAAACAGCCACCTCAGCACCATATGGACGCATGATCATACAACTGCAAAGCAGAATCAATACCAAATATTCACTTAGACAGGCTAATACACACATACATGCTCGGCTCTAAATAAGTTTCAAATAATGCGGTACAATGCGATCGACCATGAACAACATTTGATCCATACACTGTTATAATGGGCTCAACTGGCTGCTGGTGGTGGTCACTGCAAATCACCACTGCTTCTACAAAACCTACAGAGGACTCTTGGACGACGCTAAGAAAGTTAAAAGGTCCCCTGGGTAACATGTAGGAGGCTCTATTGGCAGAAGGGGAGAATTGTAGCTCAACTGGTAGAGTGGTGCCCCATGAGTCCTTACAGCAGCGGTTTGATTCCAACCTGCCCCCTTTCCTGTCTGTCTATCTTGACCTCTCCTATCAAATAAGGGCATGAAAAGCTGCAAAATATCTTTAAAAAAAAGAGAAATGGAATATAATATTCATGATTCATAGGTAGAAAATACAAATTATTGTGTTTTCGTTACCTTTTTATTTTTACTTGTAAAGGGAGCGCGTTCTCCTCTATTGAGCCCGCCATGTTTCTTCAGTAGCCAGTGATGTAGCGCCATGTCAGCGCCATAGTGTAGGTCTAATTTAACACATTGTAATGGGAACGTTTAACAAGACAGTTTGTTCCCACTAAGTTTGCTATGAAACTTTGTTCCTATTAGTTTTACATCAAAGTCCTCTTGGATCTTTTTTCAGATCACTTGAATAAAAGCTATGATAATTTAAATGAGGACAAATGCTCTGAAGTTAAACTTAACGCCTTCGCGGCTTATCAGAGGATCCTTCGGCCTCTTTGTACACAGCTCCCCACCTTCACAGTCTGCCACACTGCGGAAGAAACGGCGCCTCTGGGAGACATTTCTGAAGTTTAACATTTCCGTGGGTTTACTAGTTGAAAGGCTGCCCACCAGCCACAGCCACTTTTAATTGCCTTTGGGGGGCTATTAGGGCAGGTCATCCGTCAGTGCAGTTGAGGGCTGTATCTGCCCGCCTCCCAGTTGTATCACATGGTCTGATATGAACCACAGCCTGGTAAGACCACCACTGCCCTCCAACACAAGGAAGTGACACACCGGGACTTCCTGTTCTGGATTTCTCTGGTCTGTCCCACTATATGTAATCCTCTCAGGTTGGACATATATAATAAATCTGATCCCAGTTCAGGTACTTTTATTTAGCCTTTAGATTCACATGAGTACATTATGATTTTCAGTAAAATGGCAGCGAGCTGTGCGTATTATTAAAGCTGCTCTAATCCATATTTTTGCTTGAACAATGGGTCAAATAACTATATGGAACATAAAAAAGGAGTTTACAGAGATTTTTAGCTTTTTTTTAATCTCAAAGTGAGTTCTCTCAACTGAACTGTTGTGGTTCAGTCTCATTGCTCTCATCAGGGATGTTTCCATTTTCAGCAGGCAGCTGTTTTCAGCACAAACAAAAACAAAAACACACAGTACACAACCTGCTGAGCACCAAACAGCAGAAAGACAACATTAGCAACTAGCTGGTGAACATGGTGGAGCATTTAGCAGCTAAAGAGATATTAACCTATATTAACAGGAGTTGGTGGAGACCAGAAACTATTTTATCTCATATCTTATTTTGTCTTTTTAATTTAATTTGTATTGATGCTTGTTTTATTGTTTTGTACTGTAAATGTCATTCTTGCTTTTATGTTAACTACTTTGTGTTACATTTTATACATGAACTGTGCTATAGAAACAAAGTTTCTTGTTATCATTATTATTAAAAAAGGACAGTGAATATATTAAAGAGAGATATATATGGCTTACATTTGTCTGGTGTCCAGATAAACCGCTTCAAATGAATGCTAATGTTTCTCCATGTCGGATGGATGTGTAAACGAGCTGGTTCACCATAACAAGGACATTTCCCAGGTCTCTAACAAGACTGAAAACACATTCTTTTAAACATTTTGGGTTTATAAAAACAATTTGATTACATCGTTTTTAAACAGAGAGAGAAATCCGAGATCCAGATGAGACCAACGATGGAATATACCTTATATGATGAATTTCATTAACTTTAATGCATTTTCAGCAGTACCATAAACAAGCAGAAAAGAAGAAAAAGACAGTTGGAAACGATAATTTGCCATCTTAAACTCTGACTGCAATTTACACTTGCACTTGCAAAGGTCACAGACTGAGATGTAAGAAATGATTTATAGGAATAATCAAATCGCCCGAGAGCAAACAAGTAATAAGGTGAGTCAGTGCTAAATCAAGACAGGCATAAAACCAAATAAACAAAAAAAAAAAAAAAAAAAAAAAGCTGAACTGTGAGGGAGCTAATGAGAGCTGACTGAAGGTAAAAAAGTCATTTCTAAAGGAGAAAGTGATGTATTGTTGCGTGGCTGTGCTGGCTGCTGCACCCGTGGCTGCAGCGGGCCCTCAGAGAGCCGCAGTCCACCCTCACCTGATTATTTTTCACCTTGTTTACGGCTGCACTCCTTCATGGCACTGCCTCCATCTCCCTCCCTGCATGGACCTGTCTCATTACGTCCATCTCAACGAGTCACTCAGCCGAGAGAGAGAGAGAGGGAGGGAGGGAGGGAGGGAGGGATGGGTAGGGGACAGGTAATACAAGGACAGGTGAGGAAAGACGATTAGAGAGAAATGAATATAGTGGAGGGACATTGTCTAAATCCGTCCTGACAAGAGACGAGAAAGTGTTTAGTGTAGAAATGACTGAGCGTGGAAAATTCATCTGAAGCAGGACGGGGAGGGAAGGACAAAGTAGCACCTTACATAAAGCGTGGCTCTGCTTTAGATCAGGAATTACGTCTTGGATGCGAGTAAACAGTTGTTACTGCGCACGTCCACAAGCAGCAGCAGCAGCAGCAGTCCTGCAGCACCTTCAGCATCTTATTAGTCTTCCCTTCATACGCTGTCAGTCACAGCCAAGGTATGAGCTGACGTGTAATACTGGGGAAAATGAATGTGTGTCACATTTATTTTCATGTTTGGGAAATCGGGTAGCCTGCCCAGACTTTTAAATAGGATCACACCAGATAATGCTGGCAAAAAAAACCCTACTTTTGTTCTACCAATAATTTGGCATTTACTCTACCATGTCTACACTAGGGATGTTCTTGGCGACTAATCTGGCAGTCGATTAAACGAAAATTAAAATTTAGACTAGCTGACTAGTCTAAAAGTAATTAAACACTCAGAAAACAGTCAAAATTGATCACAATATAAAGACTCCAAGTACACAAAGCACGCACACAGCCAGGCTCCACAAGTTAGTCTGTTATTTTCCTCAGTATAACCTGTTAGATGCATTTGATGCACTGGTGCCAACTGCTTCCAGGAAATAGACAGAGCCTTGCATTGAGTCGAAAAGGCTCTCACGCATACTCTTCTTCTTCTACTCTTTTAGCCTTCATTTTACCAAACTAACCACCAGCGATTGGAATTCCTTGATCGGGACCAGCTGCCGAGCAACCAGCAGAAACTCCAGGAAGATACTGGTCCTCGCCAAGAATTATTCCGGCACATATGTTAATGGTAAATTGTTGTGTTTACATTTTGGTTTGTGTATAAAATATGCACTACGTCTTGTATTCTAAAACTAGATGGGTTTTTTTTACATATTTAAGAGGTCTGGCAAAACAGAGGTCACTATAACAACAGATATAACAGTGACTGTATTCTGTTTGGTCAAACACATATAACAGAGTACATGAAAATAAAGTTTGACAACGGTGATCAAAAACAATAACCGTCAAGTATATTTGTTCTCATTGTTTTAGAGTTTGTTATATATACTTGTAAAATTAGTTTGTGTTTTCAGTGCTGGCTCATTTAGATGATCCCTAAAACTAAGTAAATAGGACAGTGTGTTATAGAACAAACAAACAAATCCAGATTCACACTATTGTTCTACCAGTCAATTGGTAAACCTTAACATGGCAGATTGTACAATGCATTATTGTAGACACATGACCTACACATGTCTTTTATTAGCATACAACTATATATCAGGCTGCCACTCTTTTTAAGAAATCAGTTTCCAGGAGTTTTTCTTCAATCAAAACAGGGCAGCACTTGCTTGTCATATAATTTACCAGTAAACCTAGTATTGACACATTTAACCCAAGTTTTATTCCTCCCGTTTTTAATGATGCAGGGTTCATAATGAAGTGTCTCCGGTTCATTACAGGTGGGTGTTCAGTGTTAATGGGACACTTTTGTGGGGTGCTTGGCGTCTCACTGATCTCTCCACTGAGTCTCTGGCAAATTGAGAGCAATTTACTAGTTTTCTTCTAACATTAATTTGGCCACAGCCCATACGAACAACAGTTCAAATGAAGTAGAATCTATTCTATTTACCTGAAAAGTGCTCATGGAAATGTTAATTGTACGTGCAACAAACACTTTCACTGTCTAGGAGATGAAATAGGAATACAACTAACATCGCTGTGCATGTAGGAGAGGTAGGAGATCTGAGTGGCTAAAAAACAACTGAACCTTCCAGGAAAACACAGATCATTTCCAGGATATTCTGTCATTTTAATCAATTTCCAGGTGTTTCTGTGACAAGCTTCAAAGCTTAGAGGAGCAGATCAATACTGAATACTAAACTGTAAATGCATTCACACTTAGAGGTTAAATTCACATCATCAACACGTGTATCAAATACCTGACTTACACAAGCTTATTTGAAGCTAATGACTCATTACACAGCACAAAAACAAATCAAGGATGACAAAGCCCAAGCCGAGCTGACCTGCACAGGCTCACACAAATCAACAGGTGACTGAACAACTAGGAAGCACAGAATGGAGGAAAGTCCTAATTAGTCATTAGTCAAAGCTCTCCAGGCTCTGTCCCTGTTGGCTGTGTCTGTAGATATCAGCAACAACACAACAGCTGTAACGTTACAGGCAAATAAAGCACAGCACATTGTACAACCTCCATAGCATCAACAACTGCGCAGCAAGGAGTTAAATACTCACTGACAGCCACAATGAGACATTTAATCATCAGGAAAGACACCAGCAAGCAAAGAGACAGACAGACAGAGGGAGGGAGGGGGTGTCTGAATTACCTTTAAATCCATTCTCCTTTCTTTCACGGAGGGGAAGTGGTCCATATCCATGTGATAGTCTGTAATGTCCCACTGAGCGTCTGTTGGTAGAACAGTTAGCTGACTGGAAACAAGCTAGCTCTCCTGGTTGTTTGATGAAAAGTTTGTTGTTAACTTTCTACTGTTCGTTGTGAGGCTACAGTACAACTAACTTGCTTCACAAGTCACCACGACATTTCTTTCCACAGTCCCGTACATCCACACAGCCGTGACAGCGACCATTTTTGTGATTGATTTTTTAATCATCTTCACCTGACTTCTCTTTGACGTCGAACGTAAGACTGCAGTACCAGGTTTGACCACAAAGCTATTAAAACCCAGAGGGGCGCTGTTTCACTATCTTGAGATTGAAATAAAATGAAAACTGTGGGAAAACTTTTTTTTAATCAAATTTACAGTAAAAGCTGTTAATAATACAGCGTGTCTTAATATGGCTTAATATTTAGAGTTAGTTCACAATCACTCAATCATGATATATAGGTTAATAACATTACAGCTGCAGACTACACCTTGATTTTAGAGCTAACTATTCTTATCTGACCTATGGTTTTGCAGACTTGTTTTAGTTAAAGTCAGACAGGAGTTACATCATTCAATGCAATGGCTACTGTTCCCCTAACCATGTTACACAACATCTTCCTCCTCTGCACCAGTCATTTGTGTAGGACACCAGAAAATAAAAGGAGAAAGAACTTTTTTCATATAATATAATAAAATATTTGTATATAATAATAATAATAATAATAAAAAGTTATAGTAATAACTGCAGCAGAATCAGCTTTTTCACATTGTGAATTCTCTGTATTGGGTGATTACAATTCAGCTTTTTACCCCGAAAACACCGTATCTGTCTGGACGCGAGGCCAATACGATAAAGTATTTATCCGAAATCGAGAAAAACGTATTCGTGAGGACAGGCCCTTAGAACATTTTCTCAATATGTTGGACTTTGTGGATGAGTGGCACAAAAAGCCAAGTTTCCTGGTGCAACTTTGACCTTTTTCATGCAATGTTTGATAAAAAATAACACCTGGATAGCATAAAGCATCACTGTTGTGTAACAATGAAGGAGTTAAATAAAACTGTTACATCTTGATCATGTCATTGGATACAGAAGCAGGTTCAAACGTCCAAACTGACAACCTGTCCTCCATACTGTGCGTCTGCCATACTCCATGCTGTATTGGATGAAGCTGCGCATCTCCTGCTGTCGCCAAGCCCGCAGATCATCGATCTGTCCCTCCAGTCCTTCAGAGGCCTCCGTTCACCGCCGCCACGGCTGCGATTAGCTTGTCACTCTCCACATTTCTGGAGCAGAACTAATCAGGCTGGAGAAAGGACTCGTCCCACTGCTATCCATGCGTGACTTGTCTTACCAATGTATGCAAGAGGCGAACAGAAGCACAGCAGAATTGGATTTTATTTCCAGAATCTCTCCGGTGTGCTGATGGGAAGCCGATCTGTTGCGCCATTAGAGACACGTGGAGTTCATCTGTCTTCTGTGTAATTGATCCGCAAGAGTGATTGAGTGTATCAAGAGGTAATTATATAGTAATTAACAGTTTAAGACTGATATATTAGTCTATTAGACGCTGACTGTCAGCCAGTCATGTTCGTCTGATGTGATGGGGAAACTGGGAATCTGGTCCCTGGAATGAACTTTAAAGTTAAAATCAAATAAAACATTTTTATTTAAGAATTATTTACAATTAAGAATTGTAAGTTTCATTTATTTTCCTGCTGCAATAACGCCACTAGATTAGTGTTCTGGTGAGAATTTCTGTACTGTGTAGATGTGCAACATCTCCTCAATTCCACACAGAGGGGCCCACACAGTCAGACATCGCTTAGTACCATTGGTGTTTTCAGTACTTGAATCCATTACTTCATGTCGTGCTTTGAGAGTGCTGGGGTCACCTTTTATCTGTCATTAACTGGACCGTTAACGCTGGTTAGACCCCCTCGTTGTACACTGTGTAACAAACGCAGCACTGAGTAGGCAGGGAATGCTGCTACAACCACACAATGTCGGCAGGATGGGAAGAACGGGAAAATCTCCTATCATTCCAACCTGGTAGATAGTTACCCCCACTGCTCGCCACGAAGTCAGCGAGCCAACTAGTTAATAGCTACTATTGTAATTACTACTAGCTTCTTTCGGACTGGTATAGCCTCTTTTAAATGATCTGAATCCATTGCAATTGTGTTAACGTTGGATTTTATTTAAATGTAACTACCAGTGATGGTGGCTCTAAAGACATTTCGCCAAGAGTTTGTTAACATTTCTGTATTTCTTTTCACCAAATGTACCATCCATAGTTCATCAGCCCTGACATTAGCTTCCTTTTTGGAGTGGAGGCGTGGCTAGCAAACCAGGCAAACTAGCAGTGAATACAGTATGTCCTGAAAAGATTAGAGTCTTTTTAAAGGTCCAGTGTGTAACATTTAGGAGGCTCTATGGTCAGAAATTGAATATAATGTTCATAGGTATGTTTTCATTAGTGTATAATCACCGAAATATAGGAATCGTTACGTTTTTGTGACCTTTCTGCAGAAGCCCAGGGGACAAACCAAACACTTGCTCTAGATCGTGGCATTCACATTTTTAATGCATTTTATGGCCACCATACTTTCTCCTTAGTGCTTGGAAGGGGAGGGGGAAGCGACCTGCAACTAAACCTCTAGATGCCAGTAAATCCTACACACTGGACCTTTAAAATATGGAAAAATGTACATAATAGTTGCAGTATCATAACAGTTTATATTTCCTGACACAAGTGAGAATAACATTTTCTTTTGGACTTTAATTTCATCACCTCCTGAACTTAACTTGATCATTGCCGTGTTATATAGCCTAAATCTCTCTGTTAGAGAGATGAGAGGAACACACATTTCTATGAAACATTGATTTCCACTTGCCGTGATTGCATTATATACATAAATATACTCATGAACACCAAAAGACCTGATCTGAACCCAGTGTAGCGTAATAATATAAAAATCAGTCTGTGTAGGGGTATTCAGCTGAGAACTAATGTGGTAACACCACTCGTTGTTTCGCCCATGATTCAATGAGTCACACTGACACAGAGGCACGTGGGAGCAACCGGGGACGCAACAAGGCTCTGCACGGGCAAATTAAAAATTCAGCTCTGGGATAAAAGTTTCTCACTTACATGCTTGGCCCCAAAAGCACTTCATTCTATGCAAACATTTTTCTTTTGAAATTAATTCAGTGCCGCATATGTGGCCGCATAAAATATTAACAGTATTTTAATATTTTAGTGCAAATAATGAGAGCTCTTGACCCCTGTATTTAAATTTAATCATTACATGCAGAATTTATTAGCTGCATTTTCCCTTGTCTGTCTAGGAAATTTTCCCAGTAATTTTCCAAGGAAGCCCTGAGTGACAAAGAGCCTGTCTCCCCGTAATAGATGAACGCAACTGAAAAATCATGAAGCAAAGAGTGTCATGAAGTATCCATTTTCAGAAGAAAAAAAACAATCCACTAAATGAGGAAGCTTCTGATTCGTAACACTTAACTGAGTATCAAAGCAAATATTTTGTCTTTGGGCTCTAGTTATAAAGGTGGAAACAGTGAGACTGTAATAAGGTAAAAGGGGCCAAGCGTGAAGCGTGTGACAGCTCCATCACAGGGCGCCGTCGCATGCACAAGCTGAAGGTCAGCCGCAACGTAATTGCTGCGTCCCGTTCCCATTTGTCTAAACCGGGCCGTTTGCGTTCAGAAATCAGCTGCAGGTGAAAAGGCATTTGGCTGCCTGTCATCCTCAGTCACCTTCATCCCGGCTGATATCAGCGCAGAGCCGTGACAGGAGGCCACAGGTAGAGCCGCGGCTCTTATCACCAGCCAGAGACACATCCCACCTCCAATAAAAATCACATATTCCTTCTATATATATTTATATCATGGATATACTGAGGGAAATTGCACACATACACACAATGTAAATAATATCTTTGCAAGGTGACAGGAATGTGACGCTAATAAGGCTGCCACTGAAAAATATGCATTGTGCTTTGCATAAAATAAAAAGTACAGTTGTGTTTGTTGAAAACAAATAGGGTGATTGTATATTGTACTATTACTATTTCCCAGATTAGAAATGACACACATTTCACATTTATTTAGAGGTTCACCCAACTTACAAAACAACATTCTCACTTGCTACTACACTTACTGTTTTTGAGATATCCACCTCAGATTTCTGCTTTCACCCTGATATAATCCACGGACGTTACCATCAGTTTTATTTGGAATTAATGTTCTACCACAGAAAAACTATTCCCAGAGACTCCATTTGATTACCTTGAGTAACAAAGACACTGTTCCTGAAATATTACTGTGGAACATTACAATTTTCCAGTCCTGTGGGCAACAAATTCTGTTTACCTCCATGGTTAGGGTGAAATGATCCTTTATTAACCCATGATTTAAAAACAGTTTTAACAACACATACCACTACTTTTTTCTATCTTCGCTCACAGCTCACAAAGCAAGTACAATATTGGAAATTAAAATGTATGTAGTTAAAGAATCAATAGTATAGCTTGCATATTAACCAGAGATGCAAGGACAACAGAACATTAAGCGGACCCGAACTGCACCTGGAGGATTCCTGGTAAGTATCAGGCTAGCATTAAAATCCTAAATGAAATGGGTAAATCAAAAAGAAAAAAACACAGGGCAGCTACAGTCCCTTCAGAACTGTAGACAGTCAGCTCCCACCTGCTTTTAACTTGATAGTATGTCTGTCATTATAGTGATTGGTCACACACACACATGCAATGTTCAATCAGTGTGTAGAGGACACACAGTAAGGAGAAAAAATGGACAGCAGCACAGAAAGAGAGAACGAGAGCTGGTAGAGCTGAAAGGGAGCTCATTAAAAGGAAAAACACCTGTAAGGAAAGTGCAGCTAAATGCTGTAAAATTACAGATATCTTCACGGCAAGGGACATGTTTGGCATTTAAAAAAAGATTTATGAGCAACCTTAGCACGTCATATCACAACTACTTTTCCCATGTTGATTTTATGTTTTAAATAACGGAATCATGCTATGTAGGAAGGCAGGAGATACCTATGTATGGAAATCATTTGGAAAATAAAGACCTGTATATTCTGTCTGCTGGAAGTATCTCCAATTACCCAGAGCTACCGGCTAGAGATTCATGATGATCAACATATGTCCACTCAGAGATCTGAGGAAATGCCAGGTGCAAAACTAGAGCTCCAAAAGTAAAGTGCACAAAAGTT